AGGCGGGACAACACCCAACACCGAGGGCCGGTTCTGCGCGCCGGGCGTGACGCTTCCGGGGCCGTGGCTCCGAGGCTGGGCGTGGCGTCCAGGGGGCGTGGCTCCGCTATGGGCGTGGCGTCGCGGGGCTCAGGGCTTCGCGGCCAGGCGGGACATCACCGAGGGCGTGACGCTTCCGGGGGGCGTGGCTCAGAGGCTGGGCGTGGCGTCGCGGGGCTCAGGGCTGCGCGACTAGGCGTGGCTCCGCGGGCGGGGCAGCCGGCTCCCCCAGCCCTCCCTCTCTCCTCCCCCCCCCCCCGCAGGAGGGTCGCCATTTCACCCACCCACCCGTGCCCGCCCTCGGGCCGCCCCCTTCCCGCACTGGGTGCTCCAGCGGGACCGAGGCGCGTGCCCGGCCGGCCGGGAAGCCCTGTGCAGAGCCCCCCCCCCTCCCCGCGCGGTGCGGAAGGCCTCCGCCCGAGGTGGGCGGGGGTCAGGGCCCTGGGCGGGGGTCCCGCAACAAGCCCGGCCAAAGACCAAAGAGGACACGGGGTGGAGTGCTTCCGATTCTTGGCCAGACTTCTCTGGGTGCCTCGCCTCCACAGCTCAGCTTCGTAGGGGTCCCCGTACAAACATGAAAGGCGTTCCAGCAGCCCCGGGGGCGGGCAGCCGCGGGCCAGGCCCCACCGGGACCCCGGCTCTGCGGCAGCGCCGGCAGCTTTGCCACGGTGGGTGCGGCTGCCTGCCTGTCTCCAGCTCCCCCGGCTCACAGCCCTGTGGGTGGCGCAGGACGGGAGGCCGATGCCATGGGTGCTGTCCTGCTGCCCAGCCCCGAGGACTCAGTCCCACGGTCTTCAGTGCCAGGGGTGAAGCAGACTTAGACCAGCGAGAAGATGCCCCTTGGGCTCCAGACCCTGGAGAGGGGCACTGGGCACGGATGGGCTACTGTGGTCAGAGCCTATTCGTGGCCAGCTGCACGGCAGGTCCAGGACTGGACAGCACTAGACTGTGGGCTCTAGGGACGGGTCCTGGGTCAGGTGTGGTCTCAGGCCCTGCCACTGGTTGCAGGTGCCATCTGGCGGTGGGCAAGGCAGAGGGCAACTGGAACTCTTCCAACATGGGGGTCCTGAGGCCAGAGCCTTCTTATCCTCCAGCGGGAGATTCTGAGCCTGGCCTGGGTCCAAACAGAAGCTAATGGGGCCAGAGGCACTTGGTGGGAGCCGACTCAGGAGGCGTCAGGCACTTCTTCAGCTTTTCACAGCCCGGGGGTGCCCAGTTCTAGGAAATAAAATTCAGCAAAGAACATGTAGTTATTCTAGGCACCTCAGCCTGGCCTGTCCCAGACACTGGTCCCACCCCCTGGCAGGGTGGAGGTTGGCAGCCTACACCATGCAGGTAGAAGCTCACACGCACATTGGAATCAATCACAGGAACGTGGAGCCCTGTACTTTCCCTGAAGCCTTGCTCTGCGGAGGAGTATCTGGGCAGTGGGTGTGGGCCACGGGGCAGAAGAACATCTGGTAATCAAATTCACACAGCTCTCACAAGTGGCAGAAGCTGGCAGGAGGTACACACGCAAGTGTCAGGAAAGCTGCCACTGCTGTGCCTGTCAGGGTAGCTTGGACAGCCCTGTGTTCTGGAAGCCTCTGGGGGCGGGGGGGGGGAAGGGAGGGCTGGAACATGGACCCCTAAGGAGAAACCCTCTGAGAGAACTGAAGGTGACCTAGTCTGCTGGGCGAGTCAGAGAGTGTGGAGACAGTGGCTTGGCCCCCGACAGCGACAGTGCTGCTGCTGCGGGCTGTGAAGGATGAAGCGGTGCTGCGGGTCTGATCAAGGGTGAAGAGGGCTGTGTCGGGCTGTGATGGCCTTGATGTGAGACCAGAAGATGTCACAGCCCCTCATCAGGCTGGCCCAGGATTTGGGGGGCAGAGCTAAGCAGGGAGGCCCTGACGTGGCATAGGGGCAAGACCACCAGGGGTCCTCACAGCTCCCAGGGCAGCACTGCCCGTGAGGCCGCAGCCACACAGCCCTGTGTCTCAGCCGCAGCCACACAGCCCTGTGTCTCAGCCGCAGCCACACAGCCCTGTGTCTCAGCCGCAGCCACACA